GAGTGCCGAGGAGCAGAGCCAGCTGTTCACCCCACACCTGGGCAAGGCAATGGGAAACTTCAGGCTGGGCAAGCTTCTCGGTAGCCGTGAGCCTGGCTGAGATGGGTGGGACTCACACCTGCTGTACTCCAGCGCTGGGGCTGGTGATGGGGGCCCCTGCCCTTAGGGCTTTCTCTTCTAGAGTTGAGGAGCAGACAGTAAACCTGTGACAGATGAGCAAATCACTTCAAATAGTGACAAGCGCTACACAGCCATTTCAGAAGTGTGGGTGGCAGGCAGAAGGTCTGCCTTGACAGGGACCAAGGAAGGCTGTGGAAGGAAGGGGCTTGGTGCTGAGTAGAGCGTGAATGATGAGCTAGGGAAACGGCTGCTTTGACCACAGCCCTCGCAAGGTGTGGCCAGAGAAGCAACAGAGAACGAGCGGCCCACTGGGCACAGGGGACAGTGTGCGTTCAGGCTGCCAGAGCAGGCCCTTGCAGGCTTCGTCAAATCATGAACATCCCGGCTCAGTTTTGCTCCAGGAACTAAGCAGCTAAGGAGAGGCCTGAGGAGCTGGAGCCGGCGGGAACTGGGCCGGAGGGCTGCAGCAGGAGGTTGGCCTCAGGTTAGCCTTCCCTTAGCCCCTGGGAGGTTCTAGGCAGTCACACATCGGAAGCCTAAATAAGTCATGCCTGAGGAACACCTCTGTGCCACCTCACCAAGCCTTCATCCTTGCAAAAGCCCATGAGCTAGGATTGGTTGCAGCCAAAGAAGGGGGTGCAGGGGATCCCCGCACGCAGTGCCGAGCACACCACAGGTAGAAGCCAGGAGACAGCTGTGAGGCAGCGGGCAGCAGCACTCAGCAGAGCCCATCCTGTGTTCCTGTGGGGCCCCTGACTATGGCTGTTCTCTCCCAGGATCCCACCAGGCTCCTTGGAAAGTCCTCCTGCCTCTGAAGCCAACCCCGAGGGCTATGACCACTCTGCGAGCTCCGAGCAGGACTCTGTGGCGGACAGAGAGGGCAGCCCGGTCTCAGCGCCGGGCAGCAGCCTCTTCCAGCTCATAGCTTCTTCGGATGAAGACGTTATTGACTTGAAGTAAACTGAGTATGAGTCTCATCTGCCGTCTTTAGTTTTCCTATGGAGGTTTCTACCCTGTGAACTGTTCTACCGTCTTTTCTCAGCAGCACACAGCTTCCCGCCTGTCAGAATCTATTGGACCAAACCTTCCTCACCCTCGACCAGTTTGGGTCTCTCTCCAGTGTCCGGTGCCATCCTCCTTGATCTTTGTTTCTTTCCATTCAGGAACTATCAGTCCCCTTGTAATAAAGGTGTTAGATTTCACTGAGGTTTTAGATTGAAACTTTGAATAAATAAAAAATGTTCATTCTTACTTACTGTAGCTTTTTCTTACACTCTATATACTAAGGAGTTATTTTTTCATTACAGCTTTATGTTACACAGCATGTTGCTTTTATAAAGAAAAGCCATTGCTTTTTGTTATAATTTTTTTCTGCACTAAAAGCCCATTTGAGTTTACTGTGATTGGAACCAGCTGCACCTGTCTGTAGACTTGGGGATGCCAAAAGGTGAGATCTCAGAAGCTCCTCACTTCCTCTTTGAGTTGTTTTAGTTTTTTGTTGTTTTGTTTTGTCTTTTTCATTTTTATCGGTACAGGGATCGAACTCACAACCGCCTGCTTGCAAGGCAGGTGCTTATGCCGCTGAGCTAAATCCCCAGCCCCTGGGTTGTTTTAGTTTTGTTTTGAGACAGTCTCCTATGCAACCCAAGCTGGCCTCAAACAGTCAGCAATCTTCCTGCCTCAGCGTCCCAAGTGCTGGGATTACAGGTGTGTGCCTCCACATCTGGCCTCCTTGTGTCTCTTGAAAAATAAGGTGGAGGAATTTGACAAGGTCCTAAGATTATTTTGTCTGGTTCCACTGTTACTCTGAGATCATACAACCTGGGAACATTTACCCCATGCAACCAAATCCCTGTTCTAGTGTGGTCTGCCTGGCCCTGTCACAGAAACCCTTCTTCTCCCCTGGCACCTGCCTTCCCCAGTTCCTCCTTGGCTCCCTCCTGAAAGCAAGCAAGAAGATATGTGATCAAAGAAGATGGAAAAATCCTTATAACCTCCAGTAAGGAGCCATAAAAGTGTAGAACCCAGTTTCACTGAGATTATTCGGAAAAAATTTTAATTTGTAGGAAAAAATGATAATTTAGCTTTGGCCTTAGGCAACACTTGCCTTTTTCTTGCATCTCTGCTTTGTTCCCTGTGACTGCAGCTCAGAAGACCTGCAAATCTTCCCTGCCAGGGCAGAGGACCTGGGAGATTCTGCACACACTCGGGGGCCTTGCACACTGCAGCAAGGCAGACAGCTCGGCACGACCAGTCCAGGCTGCAGGTGCCCAGGTCCTCTTTGGCATAAGACAAATGTAGCAAAGACAGTGTTCTTAGGTGCACCAAGTGGGCTGCCGATGAACTAAATGGGACTTCTCATTCTTTGCAAGATTTAGCGTTCATTCTTGGTATGTTGCAATGCCCTTTGCACATATGGGGGACACAAAATCAACTGCTGCATCTCAATCCCACCAACAGTTTTGTGGATGCATTTTATGCCTTTTTTTTCCAGTTCTGGGGGGTTGAACCTAGAGCCTTTGCATTCAGCTACATCCACAACCTGCTTCCCTCCATCCCCTTGTCCTGTCTTAATTTTGAGAGTCTAAGTAATACTGCCCAAACTGAACTGAAATTTACAGTCCTCTTGCCTCTACCCAGAGTTCTGGCATTACAGGTATATGCCACACACCTGACTTACGTATTTTTGCTTGCCTTATTTTAAAGTTTCTTACTAAAATAGAAAAAAAGCTAAGAGCTACTTAGAGCAGTCTTCCAAATGGGCAGCACTAAAGCTACTATGATTGGACAAGAGTCACAGATCTTAGGACCAGGTGGGCCTCACTCATTAGGCTGATCGTGCGTGCTTTGCTTTTTCATTGTCGTTGTAGTTGTATTAAGGATCAAACTCACAACCTTGCACTTACCAGGCAAGAGCTTGAGCCATCGCGCTAAATCCCAATACTCCAATGGTGCTTTTCTTACAAAACAGTGCTGGGCTACCGTTCTGGCACCAATATGGACACATTCTTGGGGAGAAAGACCACTAGCCAGGGGGCAGAAAGTGGTTTGCAGGGTTCCATGACTCAAAAGCTGGCACCAGCCAGGTTCCCTACAGCATTCCATGCCTGACTGACTGCTACAGTGAGAGGCCCAGGTGCAGTTTGCCAAGCCCTTAACCCACAGGGCAACGCCAAGGGCCTACGGCAAGGTAGCTCCTGGGCAAAGAAGCTCCCTGGCAGGTGAACGATTACTAAACTGTGGTATGTGCTGCAGTAAGAATTTACAACAAGCACGAGTGGCTGTTAGAAGACAAAAAAGTTGCCTAAGTCTTGTGGTCAAGATTAAAAATTCTGGCTGCTAGTAGTCAGGTGACTGCAGTGAATCAAGCTATCAGCATTTGAATGCTTAGTGTTTGTTCTTTTATGCTGACAACTCTCCTGAAGATAATGCTCAAGGGCTAGTTAGGATCATCGAAATGCGGTCCTCAGCACCGAGATGGGTGCGGCTGATAGGCCTGCGCCTTGCCTGAGCGCCCCAGTGTAAGCTCCAGGTCTATCTTGGCTTCCGAGGAGAGGAGAAGGAAAGGAAGGTGGCCTAGGGCAGTCTGCAAGGAGACCCGCCCTGCAGGTCTTAGCGGGTAGAGCTGGGACAGGAAGAGTGATCGGGCGCTGCACGCAAGGTAGCACTCAACGCCGAGCCATATCTGCAGGTATCACCCGGGGCTGCAGTCTGGCGGGGGCCCACGAGCTTCTCCGGCGTCCCACTCCCGCCTCATTGGCTGGAGCTAAATTAAGAGGCAGGGCTTCAGGGGAAAAAGCAATTCCCTACCTCCACGCTCCTTGGCTGCTAGCTCACTTCCAAGACAGCGTTCTGGCCCCGCCTCCAGACTCGCATCGCACTCCAATTGGACGGTCTGGCTGGCCTCAAACTCCGCCCCGCCTAGGCCCCGGACCTTCTGTTTTAGGGGGCTGTTCCAAGTGAGCATCCCCAACCGGCGCTGTGGTTCCATTGGTGTACTCTGATTTGAACGGGGCGGTTACTTAGCGTCCTTGCTAATCCCTCCTTGCGTTCCCATTGGCTGCTAATGCCCTCGAGGCGGTTCTGATCCCGCCCCAGCACCGGCCCCCCGCCGCTCATTGGCTGGCTCTCCTGTGAGGCCCGGGAGGCCGCGGTTGCGGGAGCAGCGGCTACTCAGGCGTCCCAGTGGTACAGGTGAACGTTAGCCGCTGACATGACGCCCGAGGACCCCGAAGAGATCCCGCTGCTCCTGAGGCCGGGCGGCAGGTAAGCAGCCCGGGACCCGGTCTCGCCTGCCCACTCCGCGTCGGCGACGCCGCTCACGCCGGATCCTGTCCCCGTAGCGCTCCCCGCGGCCGCCACCTTTTCCTCGCGGCCTTCGCCGCCTCCCTTGGCTCCCTCAGCTTCGGCTTCGCGCTCGGCTACAGCTCACCGGCCATCCCAAGCCTGCGGCGCTCGGCGGCCCCAGCCCCGCGCCTCGATGACAGCACCGCTTCCTGGTTCGGGGTGAGCCGGGACCCCTTGTCTAGCGCCCCTTTACCCGCCCTCCCCGCCGCCCGGACCCCGCCCCCAGAGGCCGCGCGGGTGCGGACTAGAGCCGCACCTGAGCTGGCAATCGCCCCCGCCCAGGCCGTCTTGACCCTGGGCGCCGCCGCGGGGGGCGTGCTGGGCGGCTGGCTCGTGGACCGCGCCGGGCGCAAGCTCAGCCTCATGCTCTGCACCGCGCCCTTCGTGGCCGGCTTTTCCCTCATCACCGCGGCCAAGGACGTGTGGATGCTGCTCGGGGGCCGCCTCCTCACTGGCCTGGCTTGCGGCGTCTCCTCGCTTGTGGCCCCGGTGAGTGGCTCACGGGCTGGGGCCCCTGGGGGCCGACACAGTATCCCCCTTCCCACCCTCAGCACTGCTCCTCCCCGGGAGGAGCCACTGTTGTTACCTCCCCTTTACAGATGAAGCTGAGCTCACAAAGGTGAAGACTTTTGCCCAGGCAGGGGCCACAGCTAGTGTGCAGGACAGTCACCCTGAACTGTAAATCTCCCCTCTCAGGTCACTGACTACCGGACAGGTAGCAGGAAAATCTGATTTATCCTTGGGGTGAGGCTTCTGGGTTCCACTTCACTGCTCCCTGCCACCCCCACACCCTCTCCTGAGCCAGCCAAGCACACCCCGAGGCCCACAGCCCTGCTCACTTGACCCTTGAGCAGAACTCTCTGAGCCATACTTACTCTGCTGTTGGGGACTGTGGCTCCAACAAAGCTGGTTGCAAGGCTTGCTGTGACTTTCTGTTCAGAGAGACCGCACGACTGCAGGCACGGCCCCTGGCCCTCACAGAGTCTGGGGAAGGACTTGGACCCTGGTAGCTGGGATTACTTGGTAATCAGTGAACTGCTGCTGGCCACAGGCATGGACCACTGCCCACCCAACCATCACTCTGATGGAGGCTGAAAGAAGCCTCTAGGACCCTTGCCAGGCAGCCCACCACTTATTTCACCCACATCTACTAGGATGAAAAGGCTATAGATTTTGCTTTTGCTTTTTGTTTTTTTTAAACCAGGGAAACATACACGAGGCTTAGCCATGGGCATAAGGTATGGAATAACCTGGACGTGTGGGTGATGGCCTGGTGGTCCCCCACAATGGCTGAGGTGGGGAGTCTGTATTTCACAGCAAGGGGACCTCACCTTACGGCAGCCTGGCTGGTTGCAAGAATTGGTTGTGGAGGTGAAGCTTGGGCCCCACCCCAGACCCACTGCCTCAGGTGCGCGCCTTGTCACAGGTATCCTTGCATGTGGAGTGAGTGTTGGAAGCTCTGCATTCCATGCCCTCCCTCACATACACACCCGGCGCCCACCCACTGCCCTTTGTCCCTTTAAACACCTGCACCAGAACACCTGGCTGTGGAGCCCAAGGAGGGCTCTGTTGACCAGGATGGCACAGTTAGTGGGGACCCCTGGGCAGATGCCTCAGCTCAGAAAGGCCTAGGCCTGTCAGTTTTAACAACACTTGGCCCCCATAAAGTCCTATCTCAATTGGCTACAGGTCTATATCTCTGAAATTGCCTACCCAGCAATCCGGGGACTGCTCGGGGCCTTTGTGCAGCTGATGGTCGTCACAGGCATCCTCTTTGCCTACCTGGCAGGTAAGTTTGCATGGGGTTTTTTGGTCCGTGTTAATGACTTGTGGCCATTTTATAGGTGTGGAAACTGAGGTTCATAAAGGTCAGAGGCTTGGCTGAGATCACAGAGCTAAAGGCAGAGGTACCGCACCCTGAGAACTTTGTTTCCCTTTGCAGAGGACAGAGAAGTCTAGCAGGAATGAACAATCCTTTGTCAACTCATTCCAGCACTCAATTTTAGACAACATCTGTTATTTGTAGAGGGTAGCAATGGTTAACATATCAATTAGGTCAAGTTCCCAGGGATTTACAATTCTTTACAGAGGGGAGCACTGATTAACATATCAATTAGGTCACCCCCCTCCAAAAAAAGGACACATACAGAACAGTATGGTGGTGTTACAGGTACTTTGGTCATATAACTTAGGCATAACACAAACATAATGAAGCTCTTTTTGCTAGTGTACAGCATTCCCCACTGATTTTAGTCAGTGATCCAAATCATTGGCTCATGTGGTTTTCAGACATAGATATCTGTTTATAATCTTGCCTTTAAAATCATAAGCTTTATAGTTTGAACCCGATCTTTGAAATAGTTTACCAACTTGTTTATAATACAAAGCCCAATAGAAGGATTAACAAAGGTCTTGCAGCTGCCATTATTAAAGCTGTTAACCAAAAGGAGAAAGAAAACCAACATTTAAATTAACTCTGTTCTGTCTGATGACTCCAAAATGATTGGCATACAAGTAACTATTTTTTTTTCTAAAGCCAGACAGAGGCCTCCTTGGGGGTCTCCATAAGGGAGAACACAAGATTACCAGTTACATTTGGCAATCTTAAGCTTTAAAGAGTCCTTGGAGGGAACGACAGTCCACTTATCTGTAGGTTGATCGACTTCAGAGGCTGGGACCTGCTTGAAGTGGGAATAATGAATCCAGGCAGGCTTTCCAGTTACTTTGATAGTGATTGGAGTGTTGAGGACCACAATGTAGGGACCTTCCCATCGCAGCTCAAGAGATTCACAGTGATGCCACTTGATAAGGACCAGTGTCCCAGGCTCCACAGCAGGGCATTTGTCCTCAAAGTGGGCCGCAGGTGGAGGATATTGTCGAAATAACCAGTGGGTGGAAGTCAGAACTGGCTGAAGGGCCTAGGAGGGACTTAATAAGATCTTGATTAGCTAAATCAGATATTTTTTTTCAGAAATCTTAGGGATAAGAGGAAGAGGTCTCCCATATAAAGCCTCAAAAAGGGAAAATTCCAGTAACATAGAGGGTACATCATGCACGCAAGAGGGCAAAAAAGGAAGGAGACACCCAGTTTTTGCCAGTTTCTAAGGCCATTAGTTATTACCATCTTTAAAGTCTGGTTCATCCTTTTTATTTGTCCTGAACTTTGAGGCCAGTAAGCACAATGGAGTTTCCAGTTGATCTGCCAAGCTTAGGTTAGTTTTTGAGTTATCTGGGCTATAAAAGCCAGGCCATTGTCCAACCCCATGGATAAGAGGAGGCCAAATCAGGGAAACTGCTATCAGGGCTGACTCAGACTTAGTAGGCAAAGCTTTAACCTATCTAGTGAAAAACATCATTACTAATAAGTACTCATTTCCTTTAAGTCCAGGCTTCCCCATTTTGTAAAGTCTATTTCCCAATGTTCTCTAGGCATAGTCCCATGTAGTGAGTGGTTGCCTTGGGTTCACCAATTGGCACTGAGGGCATCTGAGGCTCACAGACTGGGCAAGCTTTGATATTAGCCCCCAGGAATTGCTCAAAATTGAGCCACCAAATGCAAGTCTTTTCAAGTGCAAATAGGCTCTGACAAAGTAGGTGGGATCAGCAGTAATGTCAGAGCTATCTCAATCCCCACTGATTTTGTGGCTGCCTTTTGGGCAGTGGTGTCTGCCAAATTATTTCCTCACATAACAAGGCCATCTCCTGCCCAATGGGCTCTACAAAGGATAATAGCCACTCTGCTTGGCATCCAGATGGCAGCCAACAAGTCCATTTTTAATCTTTTGGCCCCAGAAGTCAATAAACACCATTCTTGATAAATGGCCCCATGAACATGGGCAGTAACAAATGCATACTTGGACAACTTGAGGGCCTCAGTGAGGACAATGAGTTCAGCCCATTGGGCCGATGTTCCTGGCTCCAGGGTTTGTTCCCATAGAATCTGAGAGTCTGTGGTAATGGCAGCTCTGGTGACCCACTTAGCTTTATAGATGTAACTGCTTCCATCGGAGAAATATAAAGGAACTCTGAACAGTGGCTCATCTGTTGAGTCTGGTCCCCAGTGCAGTCACGGAGGGGCAAGGAGGGGTCATCATCAGGCAGCAGAGTAGCAGGGTTTAAAGCTGCTGTCTCCTTGGGAAACTGATGGTAGTCAGATCTAGAAGTAATGCCTAATAATGCATGACTCAGGAGTTGGGCAGCCAACGGTCTGGTGGAGCCTTGATGAGAGTCTCCAATGAATACTAGAGGACAATTAAGAGTTTCTTCCAAAAGTCAATTTTTAAGTCTCCTTTACCAGGAGGGCCACCGAGGAAATCACCCGCAGACAAGGTGGCCATCTGGCTGCCACATAATCAAGTCTCTTGGAAAGATAGGCAACAGGCCTCTGCCAGGGTCCCAAACTCTGGGTCAGTCCTATGACTCCTAGAAATTCTTGCACTTGCTTTTTAGTCACAGGGGCTTACATCCACTGGGAGGAAAGAGTCTTATTTTTCTTTATGGAGAGTCCAACAACCAATGTAGTCCTTCTGCCCAGCAGAAACCTCTTAAGCCTGGTCATATAACTTAGGCATAACACAAACAAAACGAAGCTCTTTTTGCTAGTGTACAGCATTGGTGACCTCCTGAGAGGCAGCACACTCATAAGAAATGCACACATCTGCTCTCCCACCCCAACCCTTCATGCAGCCCTGCTGTGTCACTTCATGCCACTACTGACCACAGTAGTGATGACACAGACCAGCTCCCTGTCCTTTGTTTCATTTCTGCTTAAAGTCACGCGTCACGTAGCAGGGACACAATATTTGGCAGTTCTGGATTGAACCCCATGCTCTACAAGCACTGCACCACTGAGCTGCAAACCCAGCCCTTTTAAAATTGTTTCAGTATGTTACCCAGACTGGCCTTGAACTTGAAATCTTCCTGCCTCAGCCTCCCAAGTAGTTGGAATTATAATCATGCACCACCATATCTGGCTAGTAAATTGTTTTTATAAGGAGTATATTCTACAATATGATTTTAAAACATTAAATACATAAACCGGTAGTAGTCATCTCTTATCATGACCAAGTCTTATGTATTGTACATTACCATATGCATTGGGCTGTTACACTAGTGGTAGTAGGGTGATTTGTTTACACCAACGCCACCACAAGCAGGTAATGCATTTTGGCTTAATATTACCATAGCTACAACACACTGAGCGGCTATAAGAATTTTTCATCTTGGGGCTGGGGATTTAGCTCAGCAGCATAAGCATCTGCCTTGCAAGCAGGCGGTCATGAGTTCGATCCCCGGTGCTGATTAAAAAAAAAATTTTTTCATCTGCTCTGTCAGGATCTTAGGAGACCTCTGTCATAAGTGCAGTTGTTCGTGGGCCAGAGTATCACAGTGTGGATCAGCACTGTGTGTCACCGATCGCATGGTGACCACCATTGCCACATGGCTGCAACTGCCGACCCATGATGTCTGTGTGAAGAACAGGAGGGGTAGTGACAGGTGCAGGAATGACCTGCAGAGGAAGTGAGCGCCCCACCTCCAAAGCGAAGGCCCTGGGGTGGCCATGAGGGCAGGCCTGTTCCCCACTCCATCTGTCCCTGCAGGCTGGGTGCTGGAGTGGCACTGGCTGGCGGTGCTGGGCTGCGGGCCCCCAACCCTCATGCTGCTGCTCATGTGGTGCATGCCTGAGACACCACGCTTCCTCCTGTCTCAGCACAAGCTCCTGGAGGCCAGGAGCGCCATGTGCTTCCTGTGGGGCTCCGAAGCAGACTGGGAAGAGCCTCCCATCGGGGCCGAGTACCAGGTAAGGGCCTGGGAGCTGCAGCTGGGGCCCAGGAGAGATGGGGCAGGGCCGGGTGGTATGGCCTGATCTCACAGCCAGCGCACCTGTGCTGTGCTGTCGGGACAGGCAGAAGCTGGCTGGAGCCCCACCTGGGTGGGCCCTAGCCTCAGAGGTCACTGGGAAAGCCTGCACCTCCATTCCTGCTGTCCCGGGAAGAGAAAGCCCACCCTGGACAGGGGCCATACAAATGCAGCATAGAGGACCTGAGACTTAACCAGGGTAGGACGGGAGGTTACATCTGGATGGTGGAGCAGGTGTGGCACCCATACTGTCAGCACTCAGGAGGCTGAGACAAGGAGATCACCTTGAGTTTGAGGCCAGCCTGACCTATGAACTACTTTTTGAGAGAAGTGAGAACTTCTCTCAAAAAAAAAAAAAAGAAAAACAAAAAAGAGATTGTGGAGTCAGACTGCACTCCCTGGCTCTGTGGGGCCTTGGTTTGTTCTGCTCGCTGGGGTCTGGCACCCACCAGTGGTGGTGCCATGATGTGGACCAGAGCCTGTGGGAGGGACCTAGCCAGGGCCTGATCCAAGGTGAGCACTGGGTGTGTTGAAGGGGAACAGGCCTCAGAGAATAGAATGTTCTTTGCCAAAGTCTTCAGGGAACCTGTCTTCGGGGGAAGCAAAGAGTCTCACCTTGTGCACAGGGCTCCTCTGCACACCTGAGACTGAGGTAGGCAGGGACTGGATGCCAAGGCCGCCTCTGAGCTTTAGGAGAGTAGCTCAGAAAGGGGTCGGGGTGGAGAGACACTGACAGCCATGCCCCTCATCTCCCTGGGAGCAGGGCTTCCAGCTGACCCTGCTGAGGCACCCAGGCATCTACAAGCCCTTCATCATTGGCATTTCACTGATGGCCTTCCAGCAGCTGTCCGGGATCAACGCTATCATGTTCTACACGGAAACCATCTTCGAGGAGGCCAAGTTCAAGGTAAGAGGCCTCAGCCCAGCCTGCCTCATGCAGAGTCCACATGGGTGGTGCCACCTCCTGGAGCTCAGGGCCTCGTCACCCAGCACAGGAGCAAGGAATGCAAGAGTCACCTCTGGGTGGCCCCCTGAGCAGTCCCACCCCTGTGTACCCCCAGAACAGCAACCTGGCCTCGGTCATTGTGGGTGCCATCCAAGTGCTGTTCACAGGCATCGCAGCCCTCATCATGGATCGAGCAGGGCGGAGGCTGCTCCTGATCCTGTCAGGTGAGACTCCAGGGCTCAGCCCTGCACGGGGTATCACACGCCAGAGGCCACCAAGGCCCACAGATATAGCCAGACATTGCTTAGGGCCAGGGAACCTGCAAGAAGGGCCATCAGGGCTGCCGCTCACATCAGAAGACAGAGCTGAGGAAGTGGGGGTGGAGTGACTCAGACCACGTGTTCCTCTTTGGTGAGTGCCTTCTCTGAGCCTCAGTTTCCCACTCTGTGTAGTGGGGCGAATGGCAGCAGCTGTCTTAGGACTGAGGTGTGGCTCATATGAGCCTCAGCCTGGTTGCTGTGAGGCAGGGCAGACTCACTGCCCCTACTCTGTCAGGCTGGGGTAGGAAGAGAGGCCGCTTGGAAGTGTCCCCCCAGGCAGTTAAGGCCCAGTCAGGGATCCCAAGCCACAGTGCCAGGACACCCAGCCAACCGTGCTTAGGGAGCCAGGCCTGCCCCTCTGAGGTGCCCAGGCTTCGCTGTGGGGCCCCTGCCCATCTGCAGGCATGGTCATGGTGTTCAGCACCAGCGCCTTCGGCACCTACTTCAAGCTGACCCAGAGTGGCTCCGGCAACTCCTCCCATGTGAACCTCTCAGCCTCTGTCTCCGCTGAGCCCATGGATGCTGGCGTGGGGCTGGCCTGGCTGGCTGTGGGCAGCGTGTGCTTGTTCATCGCCGGTAAGGAGGGTCCCCCTAGGCAGGCGAGGGCCACCATCCCTGTCAGCCCCAGTGTCTTGCACCACTGGGTCCCACCTGACCTCACCCTGTCCCACAGATCCCACCCTCGGGGTTTACAGTTGTGACCACGCATTGGGTTTTGTGTGCCAACCCCTTCTGTGTCCCTTTCACTCAAGCCCCACAACTCTGACCTGGTCCCAGACATAAGGCCTGGTGCCTAAGGAGACAAGCAACTGGCCAGTGCCTCCTACAGGATGGCACAGAGCTGCTGGGACCAGGAGTCCAGGACCCCGGGCCAGTGGTAGGGGAGCTGGGTCCCCTCGGTTCTGTGTGAGCTCAGGAGCCCTGACGTCACCTTCCTCCACAGGCTTCGCACTGGGCTGGGGGCCCATCCCCTGGCTGCTCATGTCTGAGATCTTCCCACTGCACATCAAGGGCATGGCCACGGGCGTCTGCGTCCTCACCAACTGGTTAATGGCCTTTCTGGTGACAAAAGAGTTCAGCACCCTGATGGTGAGTGCAGCCCACAGCCTCCCCCTCGGGCAGCCATCAGAACAGCTTTCGGCCCGGACTGCATGCTGAAGCCCCACAGGCCCGAGGTGCCAGAGTCTTGACGGGACAATGTGGGAACAGATGGCTGGGGGCAGACGAGGAGTCTAGGCTGTGACCCATGAGGGACCTTCAGTCTCCTTGTGGGGAGCACAGCTTGGCGGCCTGCCCCATCAGTGGGCCCAGTTCCACCTCTCTGCGTGTCACCACCGCTCTGACGCAGCCTCCCCAAGGTTGGTGGGAACGTGGACTCAGTGGGTCAGTTTGCTGCCTCCACTGGTGGATGACAAGCTGTGGGCCCTTCCTGCCTACAGGGCAGTCCTGCAATATCTGTGCAGGTCTCTGCTCAGGGCGCCTTCCCTCCGGGGCTGCATGTCTAGGCCAGCAGGGGTAGAAGTGGCCTGGGTCCCTTTCACAGTGAGGGCCAGGGCTGTGCTGGGCTGTTGGGGGAGGGGTATGAAAGCCCTGAAGGCTGCGGGAGCCTGGGACCCAGTGGGCCTGGGGTGCCAAGGAGGGCGGGCTGCAAAGGAGGGAGCAGGAGCCTAAGAGTCACTTGCCAGTCACTTCATTGGCATGGTCTCGCCAGCCATACAGCATGGACGCCTCACTGGTACGTGGCCAGGCAGCAGGATGGGGAGCAGGAGGAGACACAATAGGCATGGCACTGGCAGGGCAGGCTGAGGTCGGCAGCCACCTGAGTGCAGGGGATCTCCTGCCCTATGGTCACAGTCCAATTTGTGTGTCCCCTGTCCACAGGAGGCTCTCAGGCCCTGTGGCACCTTCTGGCTCGCCTCTGGCTTCTGCATCTGTAGCGTCCTCTTCACGTGGTTCTGTGTCCCCGAAACCAAAGGAAAGACTCTGGAACAAATCACAGCCCACTTCGAGGGCCGATGACAGCGCCTTCTGTGAGTGATGCCCCTCCCAGCCAGGTGGGCACAGAGGCCTGGAGCAGCCTTGGCTGGAGCCTGAAGCGCCTGGCTGTGTCCCCTGCCACCTGGGGACTTGGAACACTGCTGAGGGGCCCTGCAGTCCTGAGGGCAGCCTTCTGCATGGTCTCCTCCATGACACTAAAGAGGCCAAAGAGGAGCAGCCTGGCCTCCCAACTGCTGCTTCCCGACTGGAGAAGCTTCTGGAAGCCGAGTACTGGACACACACATGCTGCTCTCATTGTAAGCTCTCAATGCAGTGGCCGCATTGTCAGGAAGGAACTTGTGGAATAAAGATTCAACAGAGAAATCAGGTCACAGCCTCTCTGTGTAATCCCAGAGTGAGAAGGGGGTGCTCCCAGCACTCCCAGAGCAGCCCGCACCCCAGGCCTTGCCCCAAGCACCCTGTGGGTGCCCCTCTGGAAGCCACGCAAGCCTGGGTACTTGAGACAAGTCTGGCTCCTTTCATAGGCGCAGTTTTCTGAATCTTTAACCATTAAGCCTGTTGATTTTCCAAAAAAATTAAAAGCTCCTTTCTCTTTGATTTAATGGAGCCAAAAGGCTTTTACAAATTACTTTGATTTGAGCCAGGGCTTTAGCTCAGTGGCACAGTGCCTGCCTGGCAAGCATGAGGTCCTGGTACCAAATTCCTAGTACCCAAAAAAATACTTTAAGCATTCCTTATCTAAGTAATGTGTCTATTGTAGGAAAATTAGAAAACAGATTTATTTAACAGGAGTTATTTTTACAGCAGTTAACCATCTGCTAGGTACTGCCTTAACTAAGCACTTTACAAATATTCGATCATTTGAATAAATAATAAAATAATTATTCCCAGCCAACCGTTTGCAGAGCTAACCTCTGTGAAGGTTTCAGTTCTGCACGGTAGGATCTCTCCTGACATCCGCGCCCTGGCGTCACTCAATGGGAAGAGGACTGCTCTTCCATGGCACAGCTGGGCCTCTTCTGTCCAGTCTGTAAGGGGCCCGAGAGCAGGAGACTTCAAAGGCCACGGCAGGGCACTGAGGTACCACAGAGCAGTGGGACGGGGCGGGGGGGGGGACTCCAGGTCCAGGTTTAGTACTGTGTACAAAGGCACCTGTGGATCATGGTCCACTCCCTGCTACCGCAGGATTAAAAACATCCTGGAGTTTCCCAGAAGGGGGCTCTGTGGGCAGGAGCATCTTCGGAATAACTAGGTCTGCAGTTGTGTCCCTAGTGCCCGGGCAGCTGTCATGGAGTGGGCTGAGAACTATACTGCTTTTTGATAGCTCAGGGCAACAACGGTACAGACTGAGCATTCCTAATCTGAAACGACTCTGAAATCTGAAAGTTTGGGGGTGTTCTCATTGCTGGGGCAAACGAGCAGACATCCACAAGTTATAGGTGGAAAGGTCGATTTTAGCTCACAGTTCAGAGGTTTCATGGCCAGCTGGTTCCAAGGCAGGGCGGCAGGGCAGAGGGGCATGGCTGAGGGGAAGCAGGCCACAGCATGGCAGGCAAGAAGCAGCAGGTGCCCCTTCCCCTTTTATTCCACTCAGGCTACAAGCCTGTTGGTTGTGCCATCCATACCCAAGGTGGGTCTTCCGGTTACCCACACCCAGAACTATACTAAACCAGTCAGTGGACTAATTTAGTTGTCACACATCCTGAATCCATATTCACACACTGTATGGAGCCGCCTCAGAAAAGCCCATCTCTGAAGCTTTGGGGAGACAGCTAGACACCAGCCATAACAGGGTCCCAACCTAACATTCAGAAGTTGGTTTGATTTTTTTAGGCTGAGCATGGTAGGGCACCCTGTAATCCCAGCTACTTGGGAGACTGAGGCACCCAGACAACCCCAAATTCAAGGTCAGCTTGGGCAATTTAGCAAAGCTGTGTCTCAAAATAAAAAGGGCTGGAAAGGTAGCTCAGTGTTACACTGCTTACCTAGCATGTGTGAGGCCTGACGTTGAAACCCAGTCTTGGAGCTTTGGATTTTGGATGTTCGGATTAGGAATCCTCAACTATAAAGTCTGCACATACTCCAGCAGCCAAGACTATTTCTAAAGACCTGATCCCGGTCATTTCAGATAAGGGATGCTCAGCCAGAGTAGAGATACCACTATCAAAGTGGTTTTTGTCTTTTTGAGACAGGGTTTTACTTTGCAATTCAGGCTGGCCCTGAACTCACAGTAATCTTCCTGCTTAAGCCTCCCAAGTGCTGCAATTACAGGGAATTCATGCCCTGCTCCTCCTTTTAGGAAAAGATTTAATTTTAAAAATACTTTAGGTAGCCAGGCATGGTGGCTCACGCATGTAATCCTAGCACTCAGGAAGCTGAGATAGGAGGATCCTTGCAAGTTCAAGACCAGCCTCAGCTACAAAGTGAGCTCAAGGCCAGCCTGAACTGCATGGCGAGACCTTGTCTCAAAAAAACAAAAAAAAAAAAGGAACATTATTATAAAAGTAACATGCACATGTCTTTAAAAATTCACCTGAAACATAACCCAAGAAAATGAGTCCCACCTCATGCCGGGTCCATGCCAGGGGAAACAGTTAAAAGAGTTTCTGATTTTAGGCTGGGCCTGGGGCACATACTTGCACTGTGATCCCAGCACTGGGGCAGGAGATTCACTATGAATTTGAAGCTGACCTGAACTACATAGACCCTGTCTAAAATGCAAAGCGAAGAATACCTAATACAATGTAAGCCCCTAATACAATGTAAGCTACATATGTGGTTGTGAATAATGACAAGGAAAAAAGTTTGAAGGTGAATCCAGAGGGTTCACTGTGACACTGAGAAGCTCCCCCCACCAGTTTACTCTTCTAAAGCTGACTCAAGAATCCTTTTCTGCAATATAAAAACCACTAATGTGTGGCTTTAAATTACTAATACAGCCAAGCTTGGGGGCGCAGAGCTTTAATTCCAGCACACACCCAGGAGGTGGGGGCAGGAGGATCACCACTACTTAAGAGGCCAGCCTGGACTACATAGCAAGGCCCTGTCTCTTGGAGACAGACAGACAGACAGACTTGCAGCAAGGACAGACTTGCATTTTTTTTTATTTATTTAGGTACCAAGGAAGGAACTCATGACCTCGCACCTGCCAGGCAGGCGCTGTGCCACTGAGCTAAATCCCAACCCTGACAGGCTTCATTTGAGATGGAGCCCCAAGAGGGATCACTGACTCCAAGGTGCAGGACACAGCTCTCCTCCACAACAGAGGGCTCAGAAGGAGACAGAGAACGAGGAAGCTGGAAGCAAACTGCTCCGGGGTGAGGTCATGTGTCTTAGTCCGTGGTCACTGGTCCATAAGGTTCCTTGTGACTCTGGAGCTGAGTGCCCCTTGGCCTGGAACAGTCTGTTCTTTTTTTTTTTTTTTTTTTTTAATTTTATTTAAGGAGAAAAAGAAAAAAAAAAAGCAGAGAAAGGGTACAAGTTATACAGATTTACAGAAAAAAACAGTAGGAAATCACCAGTTAATGGATTACATATTGTCATCTTAGAAATAATTGTTCAAGTTACAAAATTAAAGCTAATAAAGTGGACATTCCAACAGTGAGACTGCAAACTGTTCTGTTCAATGATCCAACAAAACTCAGTAATATAATTATCTATCTTATACACTTAAATATACATGCAGTTATATTATTTAGAGCACTTTCTTTTCCTCTCTTTTGTACAATGACATTTACACATTTTGGGTTTTGTTGCTCCCACAATTCTTATTACTTTTTTGGAAGAAAGTAGAACCAAATGTGACATAACAGAACAGAGTCAGTCAAATCAAAAGGGTGGATATAATAGATAATGTAAAAACATAATACAAGGTGATCAACAATGGTTACCATAATGCCTCCCGCTATCTCAAAAAGAATTGCCTATATCATCAGTTCTAATAAAATTGAACAAAACAGTAAAGAACAAAACCAAAACATTGGAGACATTATAGGTCTTCAAAAGTAGATAATAGTCAACCAGAATGGGCGTCATAATGAATCCCACTATTTTCACAGATGTTGCCTAAACTTTCGAACCTGGTACTATCAAGCAAAACAGAATAGAGGAACATCAGTCAAAACAAGATGGTGAGAGCAATACAGAGCTTTAAATCAAGATAATGGAAAGTCAAAGTGGGTCACTATAATATATCCTGCTATTTTTTTTATTTTTCCCTTAATTAAAAGGATAAAATTAAAAAAGTAAATAATAAAATGGAGATTGAGATAAAAGAGGGCATAACAGCAAAACAGCACAGATCAAGACATAACCATTTAAGCAAAATAGTGTTTCACCACAAGATAATCCCAACATAAAAGTAGTTACCATATTGTCTCTTTCCTTGAAATCTTTGAGTATAAATTCATATACTGTAGCATCAAATATATCAAAACAATGTAAAACCATTTAAGAGAATGACAGTATTACAGGGTATTTAGAATCAACTAACAGAAAATGAACAATGGTGTCTGCATAATCTCCTTGTCTATAAAAGGTTTTGCTTATATTATACTATCATATATAATAAAATTCAATAAGATACCACCTGTTTAGACCAATGGAGACAGAAGAACAAAAGCTTGATGAGACTTCAAAACAAGATGATACTAAATCAGTATTACCTAACAAGATGTCATTTTCTCCAAAATAGCTGTTCCTATCATCCAATCTTCTCTGCTTCATTTCTGTTGAGCTCTTTTTCTGTCATTAGTTGTCAGTTTGTCTTCATTTTCTTTTCTGCTCCATTCATTGTGGCCTCTCTGCCACTATTTCTGAATTCTTTGTATTTTTCTTTTTTAGAATATCCTGCAGTATTCTCTGTAGAGTTGAATTGGTGGTTGCATATTCCCCTAGTTCTTCTTTATCCTGGAAGCACCTTGTTTTTCCATCAATTTCCAGGGACAGTTGTGCAGGATATATCAATCTTAGCTGGAGGTTATTATCTTTCAAAGCTTGAATTATTTCCCCCCATGCTCTTCGTGATTTGATGGTTTGTGCCGAGAAATCTGCTGTAATTCTAATGGGTATTCCCTTGTAAGTGATCTGTTTCTTGTCTCTGATGACTTTTAATATTCTGTTCTTGTATTGGATTTCTGGAATTTTAATTATTAGATGCCTGGGTGTTGCTCTGTTTGGGTTGTAGGTGGCTGGGATCCTGTATGCTTCATACAACTGAGTATCTTTATCTTTTGCTAAATTAGGAAAATTCTCCTGGATTATTTCTGTGAGTAGCTTTTGTAGATCATTTGTTTGTGTCCCTACTTCTTCTTTTATGTTCTTAATTCTTAAGTTATAGATCCTCTTATCATCTTCTAGCCTTTGTATTATTGCTGTTTCTTTGTTATTTTTAAGAAGTTTTTCATTTCATGCTCCCATATTACAAATCTGCCCTCCAGTTCAGATAATCTGTCCTTAGTTTCTTTCAAGCTGTTATGCCAGTTTTCAATAGAGTTTTTAGTTTCCTGATAATCTCTTTGAACCTGCTTCACATATTCTATGCTTTCTCTATTTTCTCCATCAAACAATTCTCCCCTCTTTTTCTGTTCTTCCATTCCACCATCTGTTTTTTCTTGGGCGGTGCTTAGCATTTCTCTAACTATTCTGCTTATGTCTAGCTTCAAGTCATTAATAACTTCATTCCTGAACTTGTCTATGAGGCTCTGGAGATAGTGCTTTATATCTATTGGTGCTGTGTCTGCTATTGCCTCTTTCTCAGGATTGGGGGCTGAGGACCCTTTCTTGTTGCTGCCTCTTCCCATATTCTTTGTTCCTTATATATGCAAGCGTATATAGGAGGCCCAGCCTCCTTCCCTGTTGGCCACAGTCTGATTGAATTGCGCTAGCTAGGTGTTCCTGCCCACCGCAGCGTACCAGGAAGTTGCAGACCAGGCAGCCTATGTGTGGCCCACCCCTCCAGGTCAATCTACCTTCAGGAGCTGGGACCTGGGCTGTGCTAGCCTACTGGGTCTCAGCCAGCAGTGTCATGTAGGCTAGGCACTGCTCACCAATCCCGCTTGAGAGGGGAATATGTGACTGAAGTCACTGCAGTGCCCTGTTCCCGTAAGTCTGCCTGGTCCCAGGATGTCCTCTGTTGGAGTCTCCTAGACCGTGGAAGAGTCCCAGTTTCTCTCACTCACCGCAAGTCAATGCACAGCTCCCCGCCCGTCCTGCTTTCAACTCTGTTCACCGATTCCCGTTCTCAGAGCTTTCGTGCATCTCTCTCCCTGCAGAGCCGATGTAGACGCAGCAGCGGCGGCGGGAAACCCAAATCGCAGCTTCCAATGGCGCAGGCTCCAGCTTCCACACTGAGGCTTTTAAAACTGTTCCTGTTATAGCACCAGGATTGCATTCCCAGTTGGTTTCTCTCAGTCAAGTTCATTCTTGGGTCAGCAGGGCATATCTCCCCTTGCTTATGATTCCTTACTCCGCACCATTCCTGAATTCTAAGCTGGGTCTTTCAGAGAGCCTCTGTAGCTGCTGCCTCTGTCCGCCATGTTCTCCTGGAAGTCCACAGTCTGTTCTATAAACAGGAACCGGGCCAGTCCGGGGCACTGCTGTTGCTGCGGGGCTCAGAGGTGTGCACACCCACACCCAGCGGTGGATGCAGTCTTCTAGTCTCTGAGTTCTTCTGGGATCACCTCGATCCTGGCCTAGCTCCTTCGTACTGCCAATTTCTTTCAAACACCTGCTGGGCGCTGATTGTCCATATTTGGTATGAAGAGCCAGGGCTTCATTGTGGTAGCTGCTGGAGGCACCGCCCTGCCACCTCCCTACCCATTCTAAACCCTGGCATGGATGTGTTCCCTTCTATGCCACCGTCATTTCACTGCCATGGGAAGAGGACCAGTGGGGTGAGTTTAAGTTAGCTCACCATCAATAATTTTTGCCATTGACATAGTCGAGCCTGGCAGAGACTGGTGCTCAAATATTTGCTGCCTCAGAATTATTTCATGGTATAAATTCATCACAACTTACGTCAACCCTGTATTAAATACAGGACATAAGTCAATTCCATATTGTTCCACATTTAGGCTTTCCAGTTTTCTGCTTGTGGATAATTTTCCTATTATACAAGACTTAGAGATGAGAGTGACAATAGGAGATAAGAGATAGGAGAGCAGTGACCAGATGAAATAGGCAAGAAATGAAAGGTTGCCAGGCGTGATGGCACACACCTATAATCCCAGCACTCTGGAGGCCAAGGCAGGAGGATTACCTTGAGTGTGAGGCCAGCCTGGGCTACACAGTGAGTTCAGTGCAAAGACCCTGGGTTCACGGGGCTGGGGATTTAGCTCAGCGGCATAAGCGCCTGCCTTGCAAGCAGACAGTTATGAGTTTGATCCCCGGTACCGATAAAAAGGAAAAAAAACAAAACAAAAAAAAGACCCTGGGTTCAGTCTCCAGTACTGCAGTCAATCGGTTGATCAGTTGAGTGAGATGAGGGGGTGATGGGAACAGTGTGACAGGCGGCAGAGACAGTTCAGGGTGATGGTGGAGATAAGTGAGATGATGCAGCTGGAAACCGCGTGGAACTAGAATAGGCCTTGCCTGGCGGAGTGGAGGTTTCCACAGGAGAACCCCTCAGCCCTGTGCCTACTGACCAGGAGCCTGTGGCAAAGCAGCTCCACAGCCTGCTGGCGATGGCATCTGCGTTTCACAGCCAGCTCCCTCCCCACCCCGTCACCCCCATTGGTCTGCACCAAAGGCCAGGCCACAGGTCGCCAGGTGCAGGCACAGGTCAGGCGGCTGGTGGCTGGCACCAGTCATACCCATCCATCTGAACCAGCCTCTGCTCTGGCCACCACTCTCAGCCACCCCCGGTCTTAGTCCTGGATGATGGAGGCTGCCCGAGAACAGACAGCAGGGAAAGGGAGGCAGGGGAAAGAACAGCCCCTAGACAACCCAGAAATGGTTAGCTGTGCGGGCTAGGAGTGTATCATTTGGGCTTCAAGCCCTGTCTTGGACCCTTCTCTGTCACCCTGGGGCCAGAAGCCAGGGCAGTGCAGGGGGCTGAGGTGGTGCAAGTCAGCACACTTAGCTCATATTCTGTTGTACCACCGCCTGTGTGAGCCAGACAAGTCATTTAACCTCTGGCCTCAGTGTATTCATCTATAAAGTGGACATAATGATGTATCTGACCGTGAGGCTAGCACAGAATAAGGGCTCCATCCATGTTAGCTGCAGTTTCTACTAGTGAGGGTATGGGGAGGTGGTGAGGTGCCTCCGAGGCTGCTTGAGACCATCAAGGGACCTCTGGTATCATTTTAAACATTTCCCTCGCAGGATCTATGTCCTGCCCTGCTCCTCAGCAGCTCCTTCCCGAGCCTCATTGTGGTTGCTACCACTTAACAGCATGGTATGGATCCACATGTCCCTCGAAGGCCCCCTCCATCTCTCTTTGGATCTCCCGCCCTAGTATCTATCCACGCTGCAGGGACCAAGCGCCAGTCCCAGTGGACAGCGCTGGCCCAGGAGCCCGGCAGGCCAGCGGCATAAGAAACAGTACCATGCAGGCAGGACAGAGGGATGCCCAGAGCACAGGTGCAGCAGAAGTTGTGCCTCAGTCGACTCTGGGAAGAAATCTTCACTTCCATGGATGCCCACTACCTCTCTCCTTCCCCCAGAAAAACCTAGTGGGGATCCTGGCCCTACAAAGCAGAGCAGAGAGCCCTATCGCCCCCAGTGACCATGGGCGGAACTACACCCCTCGGTGCATAGAGTGCTCTGCTGCCTCCTGGCAGCCGTGGACGGGATTGCAGTACTAAGGCTGACCCCTCCTGCAGACTCCCATCCCTTAGGGGATTAGCCACTGCTGAGCCTCTATATCAGTCAAGGTTTACCAGAGAAACGGATATAACACAAGATATACAAATGTATAAGAAATTACAGGATTGGCTTACAATGGTCAGCCACAAAGTTGGATGAGGGATTGTGCTCAGGGTGGCTGCACAGTAGAGGCTGAAGGGGACAGCCCAAGGGCTAGACCTCACTGCGCTGTCCTGTGTGAGTCCGTATCAGGAGGCCAATAGGTCTGCGATGGAACGCCAAAGAATCTATGCCCGGATGGGTGTGGTGTAGCACTTGGGAGGCTGAGGCAAGAGGATCCGTACAAGTTTGAGACCAACCTGGGCTACAAAGTGAGCTCAAGACCAGCCTGACCTGCATAGCGAGACTCTGTCTCAAAAAGACAAAGAAAGAGTCTACGCTGGAAGGCTGAACAGTCCCAAGTGGAAGCCGAACAATCTGTGCCCAAAGCTAAGAGACAATGTCCGAGCTGAAGGCGGAGACTGGAGCTCCTTCAGAGAACCAGCAATCAGTCCCTTCTCATCTGCCTTTTATTGTGAGCAGGCTGCACCTCTCAGGTGAGTACAGCACTCACACCATCTTCATGCCCTCCTACCAGGGACCTGGCCTAGATCTCCAATCTCCCAAACAAGTGTACGGCAGAGGCTTAAATAAATGAGACAGGTGGGCTGGGGATTTGGCTCAGCGGAACAAGCACCTGCCTGGCAAGCACAGTCTTGAGTTCAACCCTCGGTACCAAAAAAAAAAAAAAAAAAAAAAAAAAGAACAAACAAATAAACGAGACAGGTGGTATGATTTTAGGGCTCCAATGTGGGTGACAACTCCAGTGATTCCCTTTAAACCCAAAACAATTACTGTGACTTTGATTATTTGGAGACTCATTTCCTTATTCTGATATGTAAAAGGCTGGCTAGGGTATTTCCTTCTCTCTCCAATTGGCTCTAAGCATTGCAAATAAGGCTAGTGGAGGTGCTAATATGCAATATCTTTAGCCAACAGACAGTCCTGTTTCCTCACATAGTGTTCTCGGTGTACAGGATTGAGCACTCAAGACCTTAGAGCAAACAGCTCTGGGAAGGTCAACTGAGTATGAGCCTCAAGATAAGAAGGTATGACTCCCCAGGGCACAAGAGTTTGCCTATCAGAAACCCAAGCGTAGCCCCCCAAAACAATTCCCCTGCTACCTTAATTGGATTATGTAAATTGATCCTTCTGCATATCTTTATCTCCTACAGAAATGCCAATCTTGCACCTGGCCAGCCAGTTCAAATTACTCACCTAATTCCTGCCATCCTTACTATCACTCATCCCTGAGCCACCCCCCTTCTTCACAAGATAATAAATGCTAGGAAAGGCTTAAGATCAAGGCCTTTATTTGCATGTCCTCACAAGGATTGGATTTAGGACCCCTTGGCCACCCTTAACTTGGAGTCTGTCTTGGTGTCTTTACTCTTGCTGTGGGTTGCATTGGTGGTGGTAGATGGGAATCAACTTGCTGGAATTCCAATAACGTCTCAGTGGGATCACAAATGTAAGTTTCTGGATTGTGAGGAAAACTAGAAAGAGGATTACATTACTTGGATGACTGAACTCATTATTTGGGTTTACAATACTCCAGGAGGATCAAAACCCTCTGCAGAGTTCAAGACTCTGGGGCTTAAGACAAGGAATGTCTCTGGGCAGCCCGTATTTATTTAGTTGTTCAAACAAGGAAGGGGTTAGAATTGAAAACATAGGAAACTGAACAGACCTTGGGATTCAAGGACTTTTCCAAGTGACAGATCATGTTTAATTTAGGAGAACAACATTATGTTAATTTAGGAGAAGTATTTTAGGAGAAGATCTCCATGTTGCATTTGCTACAGTCTTTATAGTTAATTGGAGTTGGGGCCTGGTGTCCTCAGCTGTGACCTTATCTTGCCTTTGAGGCGTCTCCTGCTTCTCAGGTCCGCCATGCTCAGGCCATGCCTCAGCCCTGCACGTGTATTCAGTTTCCAGTTTCAAGGCTCCAAACACCCTCCTGTTGCACAGGCTGAGGATGTTACAAAATAAGGACCCTGGCCCCCTGCTGAATCACTTAGTTAAACTTCTGACCTTCTCAAGTTGACAAAATTGTGTCAGCCATTATTATCCACCCCTTGGCAACTTGGCAGCCAGACACATTGCTTTACATGAGCCTCCAGATACAGAGACATGCTTACAATTTTGCCTGACATGTTAAAAATGTCCTGCATACAAACAGAAATGGTACTTATTCCCTCACCAGACTAAAAAGTGAGTTTTCCTTGGTTGATGCTTCTTCTTATCATTTTATAACTTGAACATTATAACACATCTTAACAACCCTTAAAAACCAGTGTTCAGTCCATCAACATTATGTTACATAAAACCAGAACCATATTAGGGGAGAAATAGTACAGTTACAACTCTCTTTTCTATAGCTGATCATGGGTCTTAGCGACATTTAGAAATACCTTCTTCTCAGTGGGTCTTGGTTCTTTGATGGAGTGACCCTGAAGGCTCTGGGCCTTTTGTTATTCTGCTTATATTAGGTCATTCTAGTTTCCCATTGACTTTAGTAACAGGGCATGGTTATACTAAGAGGTGCCCCAAAGGATCTTCTATATCCCATGTATATTCTTTTTCCTGCAATGTGGAGGAGTCGTACAATTTTCCCTTGGTAGTCTGGGTCAATCACCCCTGACACACTGTGACTCCTTGTTTAGCTTGTTTCCTCGGAGAAATGAGGAGACCAGAATGACCAGGGGGAGGTCTTAGCTTCCAGTTCAGTGGTATCATCCTTGTGTTTCCTGGTATAAGCCTTCCCCCTCTGCAACCAAAACTTCTAGGCCAGCAGAACATGAAGTCACGGGGACAGGAAGCAAAAACTTTGCTAGTGGATCACTAGGGGTGATGGTGAGTGGCACCATTCCTACTCCCACCCCTTGATTCCTGGACCCATGAATCCTGGTTACAGGAGCCACAGTACCCTAGGGTGGATGCTGATTCAAAGCATACACAGCATTTCCAAGTACCTTAGCCCAGCCCTGCAAGCTACTGCCACCTAGCTGGTGCCTTAAGTGTGTCTTCAAAAGACCATTCCACCTTTCTATCAGTCCAGCAGCTCTGGGATGGTGAGGGAATGATGAGACCAGTGAATCCCATGATCATGAGCCCCTTGCCTCACTCCTGGCTGCAGAATGTGTTCCTTGCTCAAAGGCAATGCTATGTGGAATTCCATGATGGTGGATAAGGCATTCTGTGAGTCAACAGATGGTAGTTTTAGGAGAAGCCTTATGTGCAGCAAAGGCAAATCCATATGCAGGATTTGTATCCATGCCAGTGAGAACAAAGCGCTGTCTCTCCCATGATGAAAGTGACCCAATATAATCCACTGTCACCAGGTTGCAGGTTGATCACTCCAGGGAACAATGTCTTGGTGTCTGCTACTGGCATACTGGGCATTCAGCAGTGGCTGTAGCCAGATTAGCCTTGGTGACTGGGCGCCCATGTTGCTGAGACCATGCATAACTTCCTTCCCTGCCACCACAGCCACTCTGTTCATGGTCCCATTGGGCAATGATTGGGTGGCTGAAGAAGGAGGCTGACCACTGTCCATGGAATGGGTCATCTTACCTACTTGAATATTAAAGTCCTGTAAATGTCACTTTTTGGTGAACATTTATGTGGGAAACAAATATTCTTATATCCTCTGCCCACATGGAGAGGTCTGTCAACTTCACTTTTGGGAAGACCACAGCTAATCAGCCAGCACCATCTGCATGTGTCAGATTACTCTGGTCATTGTTCAGCTTCTGCTGTCCATTACAGTAAGTCTGGGGACCCTTGACCTCTGACACTCCAGGATCCAGTTGAGCCCATTGCCTTAAATTTCCTAGTTGGGTAGCCACAGTCCCACCATTAGGCCTGGCAGACAGAAAAGAACATCACATCAGGGGTGCTGGGGCTCCACACAAATCTGTTTCTCGAGATGCTGGTGAAGGGTATGTTTCTAGTTTGCCCCAATGTGGAGGATTAGGTTTAACTTGACAGATCCACTCCAGCATTCCCATTTCTGTGAGCCTCAGAATCCCCTCATCAACAGTAAACCATGGAACATCAGACTCCCTAAGTCATTCACAGAGGGCCATCTTTTAAACCATGTTTCTGCCAAGCAGCCAAATAAACTACTAACACCTTCTTTTTTATTTTCTTTTAAAGAGAATAAAAACAAACAAAATAAAACAGAATAAAGCAAATCAAAACAAAACCATGAAAGTGATACAGACTTCAAAACAAGATAATAGGAAATCAACAGTGGTTACCATATTGTCTCTTGTTATCTTCAAAATAGCTGCCCATACCATCAGACACAATAAAATCAAATAAAACAGGACAGAATAAAACCAATCAAAACAAAACAATGAAAATGCTACAGTACTTTAAAACAAGGTAGTAGGGAATTAATAATGGCTACCACCTTCAGAAGGAGATTCTCTATGATTGCTACATTGCATGTTATCATCCTCCAAGTAGATGCTCAGACTACTGGCTTTAGGCCTGTAAAGTCAATCAAATAATACAGGTATAAGTTGTTTTTACTTCAGTGGCCATCACCTCAGCCTGTGTTTCCCTGAATCAGCCAATTGCTTATGGGGGCTCAGCACTCCCTGTCTCCCAGCCCACGTGATGGCTGACCCACAGGAAGAGGTTGGCCCAGCCCACAACCACCGCTGGCTCACAGGAAGGGTTAACACCTTGCTTTACTCCATGAACTGCAACATTAAATTCAGAATCTGTGCTTAAACAAACTCAGCCTGATCCAGGTGTATGTTTTTGCCACCATTATCCCACACTCATACAATCCACGCCCAGACTTGCTCATTAGGCCTCTGCTTATAAGAGTTAGAAACTCAAGAAGTTCTTTGGGAGAATAGCAGATCTCCTCCTGGGTCATGCTATGTACCTCACCCTTTGGAGTCTTTTGCAGTTTGAGCCTGGTTATGGGCCTAGAAGCAAAAAGGTGTATGCATAGTCACACAGGATTAGTTTCCTCAAGAATACTAGGAGCTATCAACACCACATGGGGTGAAACGGTGATGCCTCTGCCATCATGGGTGGGGGAATCTCTTTCTCTGGCAAAATAATCTCATCAGCATCTAGCAACTCAACATCCTCAGCTTCCTCAGGCTCCTCCACACATCTCCATCCCAGTTTATGGGACCCAATTTCTTTCTGATCCTTGCCCTCACCTTTGTTCCAAATACCCTTAGAGGCTGAGCATCAAACTTACATTTTGGTTCAGCCAATCAAATTATGAGGGACTGTGTTTGGATTTCTGCAATCTTAGCATTACAGTTAAAAGAGATTTTCTTTCAGGATACACTGAGAAACTTTTAATTTTTTTCTCTGTGTCTGGATCTGGGAATCTTTGGGCTCTTTATTTTCCTTTATCAATTTTTCCTCACAACCAGAAGACTTTAGACTAACTATGCATGTTTCTAGCTCATAATTTTCTTTCAGTAATTGGTCCAGGGATTCTAAGACCAACCATCCAGCATTGTATTTCCTACTCTGCCAAAGAAATTTAAAATTGTCATATACAGAGTCGCTAATTCCTGACATCTCACAAGTGGTGAATTAGGATAAGCAAATGGATGTACGATAGTTCACACCAAGGACTATCAGTGTACCCCACAGAAGTAGAAAGAGAGACCATGGTGTCTTTAGGTCTCATCAAATTGCAGAGCCAACTTCAGGGTCCCCTGAAGTCATTAAGCAATGGCATCATTATAACTCTGTTTCTCTAGAGCCACTCTGGGTACCAAACTCTGTGTGTCAGAATTTTCTAGAGAAACAAATACAAGATATACAAACGTATAAGAAATGACAAGATTGGCTACATAGCCCCTACCCATACCCCCTTCTGGCTGGGGAGAACCAAGAAGGAGGCCATGCCCCACCCCACCATGAGACAGTTCTTGGGCTGGGAAAGAAGACCCCTTCCCCATAAGCAACCAGCTTGGAGGAATAGAGGCTGAGATGATAACAACTGAAGTAAAGACACAATCTAACGCTTGTACTGTGCATAATTGTATTATGCAATTTCTGGCTGATTCCACTCCTCTTTTCCTCCTGTCCCTCACAGGGATTAAGGTCCTCAGTGTCCAGTTTCCAACAACTACAGACCCCTGCAAAGAGGAGAGAATAATTCACCCTGAAAGATCCTAGGGTTGGGGTTCCAATTATGATGCAGGTTCTTAAAAGTGGAAAAGGGGGCTGGGCACGGTGGTGCACACCTGCAATTCCAGCACTTGGGACTTGGGAGGCTGAGGCAGGAGGATTGTTGCAAGTTGAAGACACGCGTGGGCCATAAAATGAGCTCCAGACCAGCCTGAAGTGCATAGCAAGACCTTGTCTCAAAAAGACACACACACACATGCACACACACATAAAATCATTGAAAAGGGTAGCCAGACCAGGTGGTAGAAGCCTGTAACCCTCTGGGATGATGAGGCAGGAGGATCCCAAATTTGACTCCAGCCTGGGTAACAACTTAGCAAGACCCTGTCCCAAATTTTTTTTAAAAAGGGCCAGGGATGTTGCTCAGTGTGACGACTCTACATTCAGTCCCTAGTACTTCGGGGTTGGCGAGGAGGGAGGGAAAACCACACAGATGACGGCAGCAGATTCCTCCTTGAGGCTAACTTTGAAGACAGAAGGGGCCATGAGCAAAGAAATCCTGGCAGCTTATTCGTGTTGGAAAACGTAAAACAGATTCTCTAGCACCTCTCAAAAGAACACAGCACTGTCAATGACTTAGCTCAATGAGACCGATTTCAGACTTCTGACTTCTCAAATGCTAAACACAAAATTGCAGAAGGCCAAGTTAGGGCTCCTCTCAAGAATAGATGTGGGTGTGGTTTGTCTGACAGCAAATTCCAGTGAGATTCACAGAAGACCTACAAAGTTAAGAAAATTATACTTGCAAAAATGCCACCAGCTGTTATTGGAAGGGACAGCAATCTCCTCCTGAAAAATGCCTGATCAAATATTACTAAATGTGTTTCTGCCCCTTAAAGTACAGAAACCGTATATCCTGCTGATTGATTTTTGTATTTAGCTGCCCTTGTTCAAACGAACTGCCATTTTCTTAGCTCAAAAGCGCCATGAACGAAGGTAGCTGGGGAATAACCTGGAGCTGAAGGATAAGGAGGACAGGAACCCAGCCGCAGCCTCCCAGCGCCAGCACACGTCTGCACATGCGCCACAGCAAACGTTCCCAGGATCCTTGGCGGCCACGTCGCTTCCCGCCCTCAGTTCCTCTCTCTTGGATTCCGCGCAATTGAAAAATGTACAACAAAAAATCATGATGGATAGTGGATTGTGGGAGCGAGAATAAACGGAAACTTCTCTACCAAGTACAGTCCAGGGGGCAGAGCAGATTATAAACTGACAGCTAGAGGAGAAAGAGTTTTGGCCTGAAACAAACTGTAGAGATTTCTGGGAAATGAAGTCCAGTGGGTGGTATGGGCCTCATGCGCATGACCGGAAGTGGCGTCCACTTGGCGCGTCCACTGCCTTGTTTGGTAGCGCCTGGTATAACGTTTCTGAGCTAGGCGTTTGTTTTGTTTTTTGTATTTTTTGTGTTTGTTTGTTTGTTTGTTTGTTTGTTTGAGACAGGGTCTCGCTCTGCAGTTGAGGCTGGCCTTGAACTCACTTTGCAGTCCAGGCTGGCCTCGAACTCGCAGGGATCTTCCTGTCTCAGCTTCTCGATTGACAGGCGTGCGCCCCCACACCAGCATGAGCTGGAGCTTATTGCAAGCAGATCGCCTGTCTTCTTCGAGGCACCCGGCAGCGGCTTTTTCACATATATTCTGCTTGAGGCTTTGCTGAGGGCGTGGCTGTGGCTAGGGAGACGCAGTGTTGCGGGGCTGGGTTGGCCCCCGTTCTAGGGTCAAGCACGGCGGCCTCAGACCGGACCTCAGAGGAGAGGCTGGCGAGGCACAAGAGTTCTGCCGGGGAGCTGTCAGAGCAGCCCTGCAAGTTAGGACTGGGGGGCTGTGCGACGACGCTGACGCCCAGGGAACTGCTAGGAGGCGGGGGCACTAAGTGGGACTCACATGCTGGGAGAAGGTGAGGCGTGACCGAGGGAACCGATTGCAGGAGATCCCGCTTCTTGTTCCACGACGCTCACTAAGCCTTCTGCGTGACCAGGACCAGGTCTCGAGCTATCTTTTCCACTAAGGATTGGGGGACAGACCCTTTTTAAATAAAGAATTCTGGGACAAAATATGTTAAGGCCTGAGTGATCTCTTGAATACCTACCTCTTAGCCCAAAGACTGATAGACTGTAAGAAGGGGGTTCCTGGGAAGAAAGATGGGATGTACCCGGGGAAGACACCAAAGACTTAGCCCCACCCCCACCCCGTCTTCTTTTTTTTTTTTTTTTTGGCTTTTTCATTTTTATCGGTACCGGGGATCGAACTCACGACCGCCTGCTTGCAAGGCAGGTGCTTATGCCGCTGAGCTAAATCCCCAGCCCCCCGTCTTCTTAATTTGGTTTGGTTTCCTTTGTTTTTGGTACCAAACTCACAACTTCTCACTTGCCAGGCAATTGTTTACACTGCTGAGCTAAATCCCTGACCCTGTCTTGGTTTGTTTTTTTGTTTTTTTTTTTTTCTTTTTTATCTGTACCGGGGATCAAACTCACAACTGCCTGCTTGCAAGGCAGATGCTTATGCCGCTGAGCTAAATCCGCAGCCTCCTGTCTTGTCTTTTTGAGACAGGGTTTCACTATACAGTTCAGGCTGGCCTTTAACTCACTTGTAGCCCAGGCTGGCCTGAAACTTGCAGCGATCCTCCTGCCTCAGCCTCCCAAGTGCTGGGATTACAAGTGTGTGCCACTATGCATACCCGACCACTCCAGCCCTTCTTGAAACAGCCAGGGATGCTTATTACATCTGTGCAGTATCTGCCAGGTCTCTTAACCAGTGTTTCTCCGTTGAAGAAAGGATAACAACATTTAACTATTTTGTTTACCTGGAAAAAGTGTACTCAAATAAAATGTTTTCGAAAACACCTTGAATATGGTACAGAACAAATGTGTGTGGAGTCTGTAGCCACCCAGGCATGTGCTGTTGTCCTCTAGATCAAGGTGCCTCTGTATTTGGTCTTGCAGCTGCAAAGTGAAGAGTGCAATTTCACATCCAGCATAGCGTGTAGTCTTCCCCAGAGAACTGGGAAAATAGGCTGGATGAATAGTTACCGTTCTCCCCATGCTGTAAGAAAATACAGTGGAGTTGCATACAACTCAGTAACAAAAGGTCAGTACTGACACCAGTGTCCAGATCTGCCTGTCACGTACTGCAATATTTATTCATCCTTTTAAAGATGCGATTCAGTGGATCTTAGTGGCTTCCCAAAATCATATAACCATCACCACTATTTAATTCCACAGTAATCTCATCACCTGAAAAAGAACCCTCATGCACTGGCAGTTACTCCCCAACCCCTGCCCCAGAAGACCTCAGGAACCACCAGTTTACTTTCTGTCTCTGTATTCACTCAGGACATTTAATGTAAATGGACTCCTATGACAGGCAACCTTTGTGTCTGGCCACTATGATTCAGCATAAATATCCAAGGTTCAGGGCTGGGGATTTAGCTCAACGGCATAAGTGCCTGCCTTGCAAGCAGGCAGTCGTGAGTTCAATCCCCAGTACCGATAAAAAGACAAAAAAAAAAAAAAAAAAAAAAAAAAAGAAAGGTATCCAAGGTTCATCTCTGTTATTACATTATCAGTACTTCTTTTTGTTTACTTGTTTTTTTATTTAAGGAGAAAAAAACAGAAAAAGGGTACAAGTAATACAAAATTTAAAAAATAAACAGAAATCACTAGTTAATAGATTACATATTCCCATCTTAGAAATAGTTGTTCAAGTTACAAAATTAAAACATATAAAGTGGACTTTCAAACAGTGAAGTGTAGACAGTTTTGTTCAATGATCAAAAAAAAAAAACCTCAGTAATATGGTTATCTATCTTATACACTTAAACATATATGCAGTTATAACCTTTAGAGCACTTTCTTTTCTTTTGTACAATGACAATTACACATTCTGGGTTTTATTACTCCCATAGTTCTTATTACTTTTCTTGAAGAGAGTAAAACCAAATGCCACATATCAGAACAGAGTCAGTCAAATCAAAAAGATGGGCATAATAGATAATGTAAAAACAAAATACAAGGTGATCAACAATGGTTACCATACTGCCTCTTGTTATTTTAAGAAGAATTGCCAGTTATAATAAAATTGAACAAAACAGTAAAGAATAAAACCAAAGCATTGGAGACATTACAGGACTTTAAAAGAAGATAGTAGTCAACCAGAATGGGCGTCATAACGAATCTTATTGTCTTCACAGTTGTTGCCTATACTTTCAAACTTGGTACTATTAAGCAAAGCAGAATAGGGGAAAAACAGTCAAAACAAGATGGTGAGGGCAATACAGGGTTTCAAATCAAGTTAATAGGAAATCAAAGTAGGTTACTATAATGAACCCTGCTATTTTTTATTTATATTTCCCTTAATTAAAAAGTAATTTTTTAAAAAAGGGGGATTGAGATAAGAGAGGGCATAACAACAGAACAGTGCAGGTCAAAACATAACCATTTAAGCAAAATAGTGTTTCACCACAAGATATCCTGACATAAAAAGTTACCAAGTATCCAAGTCTCTTTCCTCGAAATCTTTGAGTATAACTTCCTATACTGTCACACCAAACATATTAAGACACTATAAAACTATTCAAGAGAATGACATTATTACAGGGTATTTAGAACCAATTAACAGAAAATGAACAATGGTTTCTGTATAAGCTCCTTGTCTATATAAGCTTTTGCTTAAATTATCATATATAATAAAATCCAATAAGATACAACCTTTTAAGACTGATGGAGGCAGAAGAATACAAGTTTGATGGGACTTCAAAACAAGATGATACTAAATCAGCAGTAGCTATTATGATGTCTTATTTTCTCCATAATAGCTGTTCCTACCATCCAATCTTCTCTGCATTTCTTTCTTTTTTTTTTTTTTTTTTTTTTTTTTTTTGTCTTTTTCCTTTTTTTCATTGGTACTGGGGATCAAGCTCACGACTGCCTGCTTGCAAGGCAGGCGCTTATGCCCCTGAGCTAAATCCCCAGCCTCCTCTGCCTCATTTTTGTTGAGCTCTTTTTCTGTCATTTGTTGTTTGTCTGTCTTCATTTCGCTTTCTGCTCCATTCATTGTGGCCACTCTGCCACTATTTCTGGAATTTTGGTATTTTCCTTTTTTAGAATATCCTGCAATATTCTCTGTAGAGTTGAATTGGTGTTTGCAAATTCCCCTAGTTCCTCTTTATCCTGGAAGCACCTTGTTTTTCCATCTATTTCTAGGGACAGTTGTGCAGGATATACCAATCTTGGCTGGAGGTCATTATCTTTCAAAGCTTGAATTATTTTCCCCCACACTCTTCGTGATTTGATGGTTTGTGCCGAGAAGTCTGCTGTAATTCTGATGGGTGTTCCCTTGTAAGTGATCTGTTTCTTGTCTCTGACGGCTTTTAATATTCTGTTCTTGTATTGGATTTCTGGAATTTTAATTATTATATGCCTGGGTGTAGCTCTGTTTGGGTTGTAGGTGGCTGGGGTCCTGTATGCCTCATACATCTGAGTATCTTTACCATTTGCTAAATTAGGGAAATTCTCTTGGATTATTTCTGTGAATAGCTTTTGTAGTCCATTTGTTTGTGTCCCTACTTCTTCTATGTTTTTAATTCTTTTTTTTTTTTTTTTTGTCTTCTTCCTTTTTATCGGTACTGGGGATTGAACTCACGACTGCCTGCTTGCAAGGCAGGCCCTTATGCCGCTGAGCTAAATCCCCAGCCACCAGCCCTATGTTCTTAATTCTTAAGTTATAGATCCTCTTATCATCTTCTAGCCTTTGTATTATTGCTGTTTTTTTGTTATTTTTAAGAAGTATTTCATTACATGCTCCCATATTACAAATCTGCCCTCCAGTTCAGATAATCTATCCTTAGTTTCTTTCAAGCTGTTATGCCAGTTTTCAATAAAGTTTTTAGTTTCCTAGTAATCTTTCAACCTGCTTCACATATTCTATATTTTCTCTATTTTCTCCATCAAACAATTCTCCCCTTTTTTTCTGTTCTTCCATTCCACCATCTGTTTTTTCTTGGGAAGTGCTTAGCATTTCTCTAACTATTCTACTTATATCTTGCTTCAGGTCATTAATAACTTCATTCCTGTACTCATCTATGAGGCTCTGGAAATAGCCCTTTATGTCTATTGGTGCTGTGTCTGATATTGCATGTTTCTCAGGATTGGGAGCTGAGGACACTTTCTTGTTGCTCCCTCTTCCCGTATTTTTTGTTCCTTTTATACAAGCGTATATAAGAGGCCCAGTTTCTTTCTTTGTCGGTTAGTTTGTTTGAATTGTGCCGACTAGGTGTTCCCGCCCAATGCAGTGTACTAGGGAGACACAGACCTGGGCAGCCGATGCTGGACCCGCCCCTCCAGGTCAACCTACCGAAGGCTTCACTGCTAGGGTGCACCTCCAGGCACTGGGACCTGGTTTGGGCTAGCTTACTGGGTCTTAAGTCAGCGGCATCACCCAAGCCAGGCACTCCCCACCAATCCCGCTTAAGAGGGGAATATGTGACTGAAGTCATTGCAGCATCCTGTTCCGGCTAGTCTGCCTGGTCCCAGTATGTCCTTTGCTGAAG